CGTAGTAATACCCTTTCTCCAACAGCGCGATCGTGAGTGCGCACGATGAGTAGAAGTTATCCGCAATTACAAGACGTTTTCCCTGCTGCCCATCCAGAGCTTTGGAGACGTTGCAAATGACAGCTTTCTGCGCGACACCCTTCGCTTTATATTTGGCTACTTTTCGCTATGCAGGAGTCTGTGAGTTCTTCGACTCGTCCGAGGCACCCATGTAAACTTCAATGCGGAGCCATACAGAACACCAAGCACAATAGTCAGCTAACTCTGTATCCGACAGAACATGCCATTCTGTACCATCCGGAACAAGCTAATCAGCGTAACTTATGCTGTATCGTACAGAGTAAAACGAGAATACGCACCGAGAACAATACACGGAATCGCACAGCAGGTCATGTACACCTTCGTCCCGTACTTGTGCGGTTTGTCCTTGTTGTAGACGCGCACTGGATTGAACTTACTTCGGTTAGGAATGGTCCCCTCGTCGAAGCTAATGCGCGCTCCAAGTCGATACCCTCGGCGAAACGTCTTCTCCAGTGTCTGCAATACAGGTCGCATCTTCCAAGCCTTGTCAATCGTAGCAGCGCCGGCGGCTGAGCTCTGAAAGTGAAGGTATCGCATGATGGTACTAAAATGATCCCGAGACATGTATTTGTTGAACGTTCCTCGGGGTATCGCTCCATCTTCCTGTGTCCGCCAGTGCTTGTCGAGGCCATCGATGTGACTGCACAACGACCGCGCTATCAGCAGACCCACCACATGCAAAATTTCCTGAGCCTTTATCGATCTTGTCTTCGTCAGCTTCTCCACCAATGCTTCAACTGGTTGTACTGTCTTCGTGGGATCCTTTGCGCAAGCCTCGAGCTGCTTAGCACGCTGGGCGGCAGCGACACTTGGTATACACTCGATACGATACGCCTCGGACTCCTTCGCAATGTGAAACCACAACTTCTTATGGAGAAAGTAGAAAAACGTACCCAACGGCGAACTGGCGAAGGCTGCGGCAGACCTGGTGGGCCCCCATGTTCCGTTGTATAAGTCGGTTGCTTCATCAAGTTGTAGGTCGCCTATACTCCGGATTATACAGAATTACAAACATGGTAGAAAAACTACCAGGCACAGCATATAAAGAGGCGGCTGAAAGTACTCTGTATGATACTATCTTACCACAATGGTTTTGATCATACATCTCCCAACCAGAAGCAGCCATCGTGCGCATAGCAATATCATCTTGTGCAAATTCGCTGCTGTCGTCTTCAAACTCGTCATCTGATTCCACCTTGCTTTCGTATAATTCTGATAGGTCCCCAGGAACATCGACAGGATCTCTTACAGACTCAACGTCTTCTTGTGGCGCCAGACTATGGTCGGCTATGCTCACATCGTCCGCATCAACAGGCCCAAACAATCTTTCAGATCTCATCGCGTCGATAAAGTGTGGGGAATCGAACACATCCAGACCGGTCCAACTGGTCGCAACCTCGCCACATCCTTTTCTGTAGGAGCCGTCACACTACCTTCGACGTCACCACCATGCTCTGTATCTGCCGCCGCAGTCGGTTCCGTATCCGCCGGCGCAGTTAGCTGCATGACATCAACTTGCTCGGTATCCGCCGCCACAGTCTCCTCCTCGGCGCCCCCTTGTTCTGTATCCGCCGGCACAGTCTCCTCCTCGGCGCCCCCTTGTTCTGTATCCGCCGGCACAGTCTCCTCCTCGGCGCCCCCTTGTTCTGTATCCGCCGTAACAGGTTCCTCCACGCCGCCCCCTTGATCTGTACCCGCCGTAACAGGTTTCTCCACGCCGGCCCCTTGATCTGTACCCGCCGCCACTGTGTCATCTTCCACTGCACCAGACAAGAGGGTTGGCGAGAGCATTCGTTTCCTTGCAGCTGCATACGCGGCCTGCTTTCCCATTGGAGACCGTCCGACAGCTATTGGGCCCCGAAACAAGGGGGTAAGACGAGGTATCGACCCTTCTCGCATAGCAAAACCCCACAACGCTTTTGTGCCTAGTACATTCAGCGTTAGAAAAAAGCAAGTCATGCTTATGGCGGGCAACACGCACCAACAAAGTGCTCCACTCCTGCCTTGTCCTTACGAAGCCGACCGTTCACGCCTGGTTATACATAGGTGTGCTCCGAGTCCAGGTCTGTCGGCGGTCTTGCCTTCCATCCAGCCTTGATCAGAGAGGCCCATAAACGCTTGAACTCCTTTGGGTTAATCCACTCCGTCATTTCTGGACGATTTCACGAAATATTGGGCGAGAAGATGTGATGAAGTTAGAATTTTGAAACCTCTGGACGAAATGCGTGGGCGAGAAGATGAGGGAATGAAGTTAATATTTTGAAATCTCTGAGCATTTTATATTGCCTTTTCTATTGCAGAGGAATAATACCCGTCTATCTCCCGGTCTCTGATCCAAAATGATAAGATGCCCCATCCCCACAAATACAAACTCCTATATGCGCAGAATCGCTGTCGCCATTCGCGTAAATAAGCTTGCATCATACTTCCCACTGTCATATTACATATTCTGTATAATACAGAACACCGGGCTTAAAGGGTTAACCACCCCTGGGACGAACCGAACCTGAACCACGGTTCTACTGTTTTCTACGATCCCGAACTGGGCAGGGAGCCCGGTTCCTGCAAAAAGTCACATAACCGAACCTGGGAGAGAACTCGGCTCATTCCATGAATCATCGCCTCTCATTGGCTTACGTTATCACATTTCATAGGCCAAAATTATTATGGCTATCTAAGATTTAGATCTGCGCTTCCAGCATTATACAACTTCAACTCGAGTTTCATCGCCGATGGATGACCTCCACGACCTCCCGATCATCGAGCTGCCGGAACACTATCGTGTCGATGGTGAACGCCTTGGGCGGGCTCTTGTCCATGCGTCTGCACAAGCGAACAGTATCGCAGAGCATCAGGCCGAGCTCCAGCATCGACAGTCTCGGCACGAAGAAGAGCAGCAGCGATTCGTCGAGCAACGCGTTGCGGCAGCCCGAGAAGAGGAAAATGCGCGGTGTAACATGCTCGATCTCGCTATTCAGCAGACTTACGGCGACCCGATGGCTCTGGAGCATCGTGTTGACGCTCGTATTCAGGACGTCTTACAGCAGCTCCAGCATGGAGCTCAGCAACAGGCTCGAGTATTTGCAGAGACCCAGATTGCAGATCAAGTTGCGCTAAGCCAGCTGGTGGAGCAGCGTATGCACGCTGCCGTGCTAGATATGGAGCAGGAGATGAACCTGCGGGATGAGAAACTCCTTCTGGACCTGCGCCGCGATATCACTGAATACGTGAAACACCAGCTCAAATTGGCCGTACAACGCGCTGACGACAACACACGAACGCTCATGAACAACGAGCTACAAGATCAGCGAAACATACAGCAAGCGTCCATCGCGCGCTCCGAGACTCGTATTGCTGAGCTGGTTCGAGGTATAATTCACCAACACGACAGTGCAATGAGGGTGCGCCAACAGCAGGAGAGCGACGTCCGCAACGACTACATTGAGGAACGGCTTCGTCAAGTGGTAGCTGTTGCCAAAACGGCAGCTGAATCGAAGGCTCGCGAGGTGATGGCACAAAGGTCGCCATGCACATCCACACAGCAGGTGCGTTGGTGTCGGCCGTGCTGACGACGCGGACACCCCAGTCGTAGACGAATGACGTCTCACTCGTCTTGGCGCGTAAAATTTTTGTTCCAGCTTCAGGGACAAAGGCCTGGATGGCCTCCCGTACAGCGATCGGGATACTGGCTTCGTCGCGACGCCTTCTTCGCTCTGGGTCCATGAGTATCTGCTGAAGATCGCGGTGTGATAGCAGGAAGCAAATAGCTTTTTAAAGCTGCAGTCAGCGCAAAAAAATGCCAAAACACACCGTAAATTAGCCAATGAAGTACGCCAAACTGGAGAACCCCTCGCCCTCTCCCATATCAATGGGTTCAGGCTCCCTTTAGAACGGGTTCATTCCCGACATTAAATACGGGGAAGAATGAAATTTTTCAGATTACCGGCTCCGAACCGAAGTTGGAACGGCTACTGAATCTTTTTCGACTCGTACCCATTTGGTTCGTCCCAGGGGTGGGGTTAACTCTAAAAGGACAAGTCAAAAAAAAAACTAAAAGGACAAGTCTTGTCCATTTCTAGGAAATCTATACTCGCCGTGTATTTTACTTACGCATGTCTTTTGTGAGAATTCTATTTCACTTGGCTATACCGGTAGCCAACCGGTTAATAAATTGTCAACTTCAAAGCAACTCCTTCAAATCAATATGAAAGGCGTGTCTTCCTCGTTTGTCCGAACCTTGCTGCTCTCTCTGTACCTGGTGGCTCTTATCAGCAGCCACGCTCAGCAGTGCTCTCTGCTACGCATCCCTCCTGCTAATGTGGAGTATGCACTACTACATATCAACTCGTTTAGTCCGGTTGAGGACATGGGCAACGCGGCGTGCGAATCCTTCGGCGTACCCAATTACAAATGTGGCAACGTTAAGAAGGAGATACTGGAGACAATGCAGGAAATGGCTCGATTGGCAATTCGGGAAGCTGTCGTGAATGTGTCGCTGGATCACTCTCTGATCTACGACGTATTGATGTTCGATGAAGCGACCCAGGAACAGGTTAAAGCTCCCGAACCGATTGTGGTCTACCCGGAACAACCGCTAAACGATACAATAGCCGAGTATTGTGCACGCTACAAACTGGACGACCAAAGCTGTGATAACGCCCGTGTTGGCGTTAGTGATCTCTTAGTGAGAGATTGGGGCTGCGATGACCCCGTAGCGAATAAAAGAACAGACTTCGTCGAGATTCCTGTTTTGCTGGACCAAGAAGAACATCAAATTAAGGTTGAATTGCCGAGCAACGGGACAGTTGAAGCAGCGACGTTATGCTTAGATAAAAAGCTTAACGTTGCAGAGTGTGCAGCTCTCATTCGTCTTGTCCGTAAGGAGGTCGAAAACTCGAATACTCCACGTGTAGCGGGAAATGGAGGTGTGGTGGAAGACGTTAATACTGACGTACGACGCCGATTACGCGTGATTAGCCCGATTGATACTCGCTTGTACCCGAAGTCTGAACGTATCTATGTTAAAGTGAGCTGGGAGCAAGAGTTAGCGGAGGAAGAAATTGTTTCGGAAGAAGTGTGTCTTAATGCGGGCTACTCCACCACGCCAATTGCATGCTTTACTGTTCCTCAGACAGAACCTCTCTACATCTCCCCCAATGCTGGCGAAGGCTACCACATATTTTACTTCACAGACAAGAGTGGTGGCGAGATTTTGGCGGCGGTAACATTCCAAATTGTACTTCCCAAAGTGAATTTGGTCGAGGTTTTCGCCGGAGCCGGTAGCGCCAACAGCAATTATCTGGTGGCGACAATCCGCACGACATTTTTCGATCCCTTCGATCCTGCATTCCGAGTCTGCGTCTTGCTCGACGATTCCTTCGACTGCCTGGATCCAGAGTACATGGCTGTTGATGAGAGCGAGTTACGCCATGGTACACACAAAGAACCCATGTACCAAAGCGTAACGTTCCGGTCGCCAGTGGATCACGTTCCATTCAGTGACGTTAATGGACACGAGATGAGTGTTCTTCTACTCGTGGAAAACAACAAGGTGGTGCATACGTCGAACACCTTGGCCTTTAGCGCTGAACCAAGAGTAAATCCTCCCGAAATCACTTCAAGACTGCATATCCTAGACCCGAGAGTCCACACTCCTCAACGTCCTAGATCCTGTCCAGAAATGCTTCTCTTAACGCCGAGCTTGCGATGGATCTGCGATCTTTGGCGTCACGAGTGGGGGATATACTCGCAGAATGGCGAAGACGGTATCATTCGCAAGATATTCCGACATATTGGTACGACGAGCAAATCGTACGTCGAGTTTGGCACGGAGAATGGCGATGAATGCAACACACGTCTGCTACGACAACTTCATGGCTGGAAAGGACTTCTAATGGACTCGCGTCATGAAGATGAGAGCATCGAGTTGCACCGAGAGTTTATCACTCGTGACAATTTCATGTTCCTTCTTGCTGAAAAGTACCAAAGCCTCGTTCCTCAGGAACTCGATCTCCTGTCCATTGACGTCGACTTTAACGATTTCTGGCTGCTTAAAGCTGTTGACTTGACGCGTGTATCGCCCCGTGTGATATTAGTCGAAGTAAACAGTCACATCCCACCGAATGAGGCTCGAACTGTACAATATGATGACAGCGAGGATGGAAGTGGAAGCTGGGACGGTTTCTCGTCATATTTTGGCGGCAGCGTGGCGGCATTCTACCGCTGGGGTGCTCTCAATGGATACTCGTTAGTGTACTGCGAGTCGCACGGTGTGAACTGCTTTTTCGTGCGTAATGATGCTCTTGGTGGCGTCAACGTGTCGGCAGTGCTCGGTCCCGAGCAACTGCAAAACCCACCGAACTTCTTTGGGCAAGGCTGGAATTACCCAGATACGTGGCAGCCTCACCACAAGTGGGTGTGGGTTTGAATACCTAGGTGTGATTTTCTCTATTCGCAATGTAGTACTTAGGTACATGTACTGTCTTCTAAAACTGCCCGTGTTGGTTGACCTTGATCATTACACTGGCACAGCATGAGCTTGTTTCGATAACCCATTTATCTCCATGAGTGGCTTTGTCGTCCTTGTGAATGGCGTTAAAGTCGACGACCCGGAGAAAGACCTGGCGCTGACCCGTAACAACACGTTCTGCAACCGTGACGACAGCTCCGCAAGGAATGCGACCCACTGGTGCTGCTGTCAACTCTGGTTCCATACGAACAGGAGCACCCGAGTCTTGGACACAGCGATATGTTTCATTCCTGGGTGTAGATAGCGATGAAGTCCACGGACCTTCGACCTCGTTGAGCACAGACTCGTTGTCTAGTGAGCGCTCGACAACCCACGCCGCGCCATCAAAGTATCTTTCGTGTAGTCTAAGGAACACGACTCCATCTGGAGCCACAGTGGACTCTACCACTTCAACAACGTCGCCGTAGAGCACGTAGCCAAGCTCTGATAGTGTCAGATCGGCAGACTCCCGAACCTTGCAGCCTTCTACAACACAGCGGAAGAACCTGCTAGTTCGTTCATTGAGGCCGTCACAGGTGTATGGCCCTTGATGAGATTCCAGTAGGATTTCATTGCGTATAGAGCGGCAGGGTATCCATGCCTCTTTTACTTGCCGCTCCACCCCATCATCTTCTTTGCCAGCCCCATTAGGATCGCCTCGCACAACACAATTAGGGAGGTGAGAACCCTCTAATCGCACCATTGGGTCGCCTTGCTCGTTGCAAATGGGAGCCGTAGCACGGAATACGCGACCAAGAGGGATGTAACCTAACAGAGGGGATGCGATGTTGTGCTTCAGGCGCACTGACACACCTCCACTTTTGCCGCGATGACATACACGATAGTATTGGTCGAACTTCCACTTGCCTGATGAAGAACAAAGCCACAGTCGAGCTACTTAGTGAACACCGTTCTGCACCCTACAACTGAGCAGACAGGAAGTAACAGAGTAACTTACTAGCAACATGCGCTGATGACGAAGCAGCGGCGCGTTCCAGCTCGTCTACGCACGTCTTACACTTGGCATCCAGCAGCTGAGCCTGTCGCTTGGAGAAGCTCGACTTGGGGAGACTTTGGAAACAATGTACGCAGCATTTGAGGCGCGGCTGGGTCTCACCTTCCACCTTCGCTTTATCCACGCAGGCCTTGCACTTGCTGCAGCAAGCAAACGCGCCATTCAGATCATGGTCATGTTCCGGACTTCACTCAGTTGACGAAAGCGAGCACGTACGGATTTGGCTTCAATTGTTGGTGGCGCGAAAAGGCCTTGGGGGCCAATGACCGCTTGCACTCAACGCACATACGCCGCTCTTGCTCTGAGTTGAGTCCTTGGCATCCTGATGACTGTTCGATTTTTGACTGCTCTGTACACGACTTGCATTTGCTGTGGGTTTAAGGACAACGGATGAGCATTCACCAGAATCTGGCCTTCAGCCGCATTGTGGACACGTACGAGATCGATTTCTGCTGCTGATTGCGCGAAAAATCCTCCAGAGGCAGCGATCGGCCGCAAGAAGCGCAATCGCAGTCGCCGACAAGCGCCTTGGCCCTCGCCGCGGCGGTCTGCTTCCCGTGGTCCATGCTCCTCCAGCAGATCCTATTGGCGTGTGGAAATAAGTTAAATTAACCGAAATCGAATGCATTTAAATTCAATTTGGATATGCGAATATGCAGGTTATTGGATTAAATTGCAAACAGGGTCTGGTGTCATAGCGTGGACGGCTGCCAGCCATCGGTGAATGCGCAGTCTAGATTTATCCCCCGGGGTGGCAGGACGCAGCTCGATTGTATAAGGAGCCCAGGCATAGAACAGAATGAAGGTCATCGACAAGATCAACGCGAGTTTGGAGCGCCAGGAGGTCTTTTACTCGTTCGAGTTCTTCCCGCCCAAGACGCCCGCAGGTGTGGACAACCTGTACGCTCGTATGGACCGCATGGCGGCGCTAGAGCCGCTTTTCTGTGATATGACATGGGGGGCCGGCGGCTCCAGCGCACAGCTCACACTAGAGCTCAGCGCCAACGCACAGAAACTCAGCGGACTCGAAATGCTCATGCACATGACGTGCACCAACATGGCTGACGCAGACATCAAGAAGGCGCTGGACCAGGCGAAGGACGCTGGCATCCAGAATATCCTTGCGTTGCGTGGAGACCCCGTACGCGGTGCAACCAGCTTCGACGAATGCGATCGCGGCTTCTCTCATGCCGTAGATCTCGTGCGCTACATTCGCGAGAAATACGGCAACCACTTCTGCATCGGCGTGGCGGGGTACCCCGAGGGTCACACTGAGTTTAAGGACAAGAAGGCTGACATCCAGTACCTCAAGGAGAAGGTGGATGCCGGAGCCGACTTTGTGATCACACAGCTCTTCTACGACGTAAAGGTGTTCGTGGACTTTGTCAAGGAGTGCCGCGCCGTGGGTATCACGGTACCCATTATCCCCGGTATTATGCCTATTCAGAACTACGGCGGCTTCGAACGTATGACATCCTTCTGCAACACGCACGTGCCTGACGAAGTGCGTAAAGCTCTGGAGCCTATTAAGGACAACGACGAAGCTGTTAAGGACTACGGCGTGCAGCTTGGTATCACAATGAGCCAGCAGCTCATTGACGCCGGTGTACCTGGACTGCACTTCTACACACTCAACCTGGAGCGCTCCGTGCGTCGCATTCTTGAAGGACTGTCTTCTCTGTCCAGTCGTGTGCCGCGCCGTGAGCTGCCTTGGCAAACGTCGACGTTGTCGAAGCGTGCGTCCGAGAGTGTGCGTCCCATCTACTGGTCCAACCGACCCAAGAGCTACGTACACCGTACGGCCATGTGGGACGAATACCCGAACGGCCGCTGGGGAAACAGCGAAAGTCCTGCATTCGGTGAGCTCACTGAATCTCACTTTGCGCCCTCCAACACATCCACGCCGCGCGAGCGCCGTGCGATGTGGGGTGACGCCCCTGCTAGCAAGGAAGACGTTCGCCGCACGTTCGTACAGTACGTGCGTGGCGAGATCTCGAGCCTGCCGTGGTGTGATGCCGCATTGCACGCCGAGACGTCGACCGTCCAGCAGGAGCTCGCCGCCGCCAACTCTGCCGGATTCCTGACGATTAACAGCCAGCCGCGCGTGAACGGCGCGTTGTCTGATGATCCGATGTTCGGCTGGGGCGGACCTGGAGGCCGCGTGTACCAGAAGGCCTACGTCGAGTGCTTCGTGTCGCCTGAAAATATGAAGATTATAATCGAGAACGCCGCCAAGAAGCCGTCGATGCAGTACCACGCCGTGAACTTGAACGGCCACTCGTACTCGAACGCCAGCAAATCTGCTGTGGCTGTGACGTGGGGCGTCTTCCCCAACAAGGAGATCTTGCAACCCACGATCGTGGACAGCAGCAGCTTCCTGGTGTGGAAGGACGAGGCCTTCGCGCTGTGGCTCAAGCTGTGGGCGTCACTGTATGAACAGGGCAGCCAGTCGGCCAAGCTGTTGCGCGAGATTCACGACACGTACTTCCTGGTGAGCATCGTGGACAACGACTTCGTGAATGGTAACATTTGGGACCTGTTTGAGCCGTCGATCTCGCCTGCCACCTCGCCGTAAGGATGGCGCAAGGAAAAGTTGAAATTGGGGCCATACGGGCTACGTGCTTGTGGCAAATTTTATAGGATGCCCGATCCCGTCCTCCCAGTCGCAGGAGCTGGTTGATACAGAAGACCGCTTTGTGTCACTGGGACGATGGAGGAGCACGCAGCTCAAGCCACAGTTTTGCATGTCGTGTTTGTTGCACTGGACTAGAGATTGCCACTCATAAAATGGCTACAATATCAACCACTGCAACAGCATTTTTGTGCACAATTTAATCTTGAACAAAGTAAAGGACACAAAGTGGTCCAAATCGATGAAGGAGAGCACCGTACCCAGTGTCTGCGTGCGCGAGCTTCGCGGGCATCACGGCCCCGTCAATGCTGTGCGCTTCAACTGTACGTGCTTCATCAGCGCTCTGTATATTTTATGTCTAGGTCTCGCTAACAGTTCACGGGTGCATCGCAGCCAAGGGCACGTACGTGATGACCTGTGGTCAGGACAAGACGGTGAAACTCTGGAATCCGCACCGCGCCAGCGTGGAGAAACCAAATGAGGCACTACTTGTCAAATCTTATGAGGGAAGACACGGCTACGATGTACAGGACGTCGCAATGTACGGAGTACTGTAGAACTGCACTGGCAAGGGAAGCTGGCAATAGTGATTGGATACGTTTTGGTTTGCTGCTACAGAGCTCATGACAATTCCAAGTTCGCCTCGTGCGGTCGAGACAAAGACGTCTTCATGTGGGACGTGCCCACTGCTAAAGTTATCCGCAAGTTTGAAGGCCACGAGCATGTAAGCGACAGCAACTTGCTACATAATGCTGAAATGGGGTAGAGCTAATGTCACGTGTTGGAAAGAGTGTGAATTGTGTGCGTTATAATACGGATTCTTCTGTGCTGCTGAGTGGGTCGTATGACAAGACCATTCGAGCTTGGGACATCAGGTACGTACGTTTGTTATCAGTGCCCTCGTTCTTAAAAGCGACGCTTACTTGCCGTGCTTTGCTCAAATAGAGCTCGAAATGCTTACACTCCAATTCAGATTTTGGACGACTTCCGAGACAGCGTCACCTCGATGGTAGTGACAGACCATGAGATCATTGCAGGGTACAGTTGATATTTGGTGAATTTCTTTTCAGCTTATGATAGTAAGCCTCACGAATTCTCATTGTTTTTCAAAGGTGTGTTGATGGTGTTGTGCGCACATACGACCTTCGAGCTGGACAGCTCTTCCGCGAGCATATTGATGGTATGGGTGTAGATAGGCTACAGCTAATGCTGCCACTCTGACTATTCACTACTGGTTTGTTTCGATAATGCAGAACCTGTCACATCAGTCGCACATTCCGCCGATGCGCGATTCATTCTCGCTGGATGTCTCGATGGCTCCGTTCGACTGATTGAGAAGACCAACGGCACCGAAGTCAAGAGGTAAGAGAGCGAGACATTTGTTGTGTATTGGCGTTTCATTCTGTTTACCTTTACGTTTGCTGCCTCGTAGCTATCGTGGACACAGCGTGCAAGACTACAAGATCGAGTGCGGGTTCTCAAGTGACGGAGCCTTCGTGCTGAGCGGTTCTGAGGACGGGAAAATCTACTGGTGGGATCTCGTGGACGCTAAGCATCAGCACTCGTTTGATGCGCACAACAAGCCTGTTCGAGCACTCGCATGCCACCCTGAGAGTAGCATGTTTGTCACTGGCTGCATCGATGGCTCGGCTAAAGTCTGGGCTCACGAGTGATCAAGCATTAAAATGGATCCTGGTCTCATCTACCGCTCCGCCCTTCGTTAGTGTCTACGACAGCGTGTAACGCATACCTGCGATAGTCATGAGCAGGTCGTTAGCGCTTGCCTTCTCTTTCTTGTCCTTTGAGAAGATAGAGGCAAACACTTGGCTCTTCTCTTTGGCCTTTGAGATGGATTCACTTGCGTCCTTGGCAATTTTGGAAAGTCTCGCATCCTTCGTCTCACCCAGATGCTCTGCCTTCCTCTTGCTCTTCTTTTCCTTGTGATGTTTCTTTTGATCGTCTTTCTCCTCCTTCGCCTTCTTCTTGTTCTTCTTGGCCCGTTTCTCATCGGCCTTGGCCTCCAGCAATTTCTTCTGGTTCGCCGCGTACTGCTCGTCTTCCAATAGCAGCGTCACGACGTTCTGCTCTTCAAATGATTTTCCACATACCAGACATTCCTTCGTGCTAACGGCCTTAAGAGCACGCTCCGAGAGTACACAGCCACACGAGAAGAGCACAACGAAGGGCTGCTTGCCATTAAACTCTGTCATTGTGACGGGGCAGCTCCACAGCGCGTCCTCCTCCTCCTCTTTCTCGCGCGTCACACGGCACGTCACCACATCTTTCAGCGACGTAATGTGACGGAATCGCTCAGGCATCGACTTGGCCAGTAAATGCTCCAGCACCGCCTGCTTGTTGAACAGATTACCCAAACGACACGCCACCACGGGCTCGCGTAGCGGATCTGAGGATACAGCACATGTACGCGCCTTCTCCAGGCGTAGCGCTTCCTGATCAGCTTTCTCATTACGTGCCTTGACGTTCGCGTGGCGCATGAACTTGCGCTTCACAGCGATCACTCCACCATCGTTCCCCATTCTCGACTGGTTGAAATAGTCTCGTGTTTGGGTTCAGACTATTCAAGGATCAAATTTTGGTCTTGAAAGAAACGCCAATGCAGTGGTTGTAACTATTGTACTGGCTTACTGCAACACGCAACGAATTCGGAATGGAGACACCGAAGCTTGCAAAATTGTGCTGTTCTCAATGTTCATTTTTGTGTGTTATTATTCGCCACTACTCTGTTGCAAGCTGTAGCTGATACTGGTAGCGTGGACCCATGCTCCTCATATATTAAGCAACCTCAATTTTGAGCTTACTTCTTGGGCTGGGGGCGGCACCGCCAGGCCTTGAGGCGCGTGGCGTTAATGCGGATGAATCCCTGGGCGTCAGCCGGGTTGTAGTCGAAGTTGGCACCACCACCCTCCTGGTCCATGGAGGCCAGGTCGGCGCTGTACAGAGCCTCGTCCGAGTAGCGGCCAATGACGGTCACGTTGCCCTTGTAGAGCTCCAGGTTGACGAAACCCGTGATGTTCTGCTGCGAGAAGTCCACGGCGTTGCGCACGAAGTCCATCTCGGGAGCGAACCAGAAGCCGTTGTAGCAGAACTCGGCGAACTTGGCGGACAGCGAGTCGCGCACCTTCATGACCTCACGGTCCATGCAAAGGCCCTCGAGGTCAAGGTGTGCGTGACGAAGGATGGTGCCGCCCGGAGTCTCGTAACAGCCACGCGACTTGATACCGACGAAGCGGTTCTCCACGATGTCAATGCGGCCAATGCCGTGCTTGCCGGCGAGCTTGTTAAGCTCCAGGAACAGCTCCAAAGCACCCGTCAGTTCGGGGGTCTTGGCCGTGAGGTTGGTCACACCCACAGGGATACCCTTCTCGAAGCGGACCTGGATCTGCTCAGCGGCGTCGGGGGCGTCCTTGGGGTCCACCGTCATCTTGAACATCTCGACCATAGGGGCAGTCATGGGGTCCTCCAGCATACCAGCCTCGTACGACGTGTGGTACAGGTTCTCGTCTACACTGTAAGGGGCCTTGGGGGTGGCATCGATGGGGATGTTCTGCTCCTTGGCGTACTGGATCAGATCGGCACGGCCCTTGAACTTCTCGATAAACTCAGCGTCACGCCACGGGGCGATGGTCTTAAGCTGGGCGTCCAGGGCCTGAGCGCACAGCTCGAAACGAACCTGGTCGTTACCCTTGCCCGTGGCACCGTGGGCCACATACTTGGCGCCCTCGGCCTGGGCAATCTCCACCTGCTTCTTAGCGATCACAGGACGAGCCAGGGACGTACCCAGCAGGTAACGAGACTCGTAGATGGCGTTGGACTTGACAGCCTCGAAGATGTAGTGCTTGACGAACTCCTCACGCAGGTCCTCGATGTACACCTTCTTGGCGCCCAGGGACATAGCCTTGGCACGCACCTTCTCGTAGTCCTCGCCGTGCTGGCCCACGTTCGCGCAGTAGCAGATGACCTCGAAGCCCTTGTTGGTCAGCCACTTGAGGATGATGGACGTGTCCAGGCCGCCGCTGTAGGCGAGCACGACCTTGTCACCGGCTTGGGCCTTGACGCTCATAGTTGTAGTGGATGTTGCTTGGTTTTCTTGGGCGAATTCCAGAATGAGATCTTGCTTGGCCCAAGGGTCGGCTCTCGAGCAGCGTACGCCGCTCAAATCTCCTCTAAACAGCATGTTGATCCCGGATTCTAATCACCATGATGAGGCTGGCGAAACGGACTTTGGGATCTCAAAGGTATTTTGGAAAATAGAGGTATATGTACTCTTCGATTTACAAAGTGCTGGTAATTTGTGCGCGAGTGACTGTTGATAAAAACAACTTAAAACAAATTATGCTTTATCACAGAAGTTGAAGGCAACAAAAAGATAGTTCTCGTGGATGCTCGCAAGTCACAGCGCACTGGGACCAGCCATTCCACGCATTTGATTATCAGATACGAGTTCTGCTTCTAGAAGAAGGCACGCTGCGCGGTGAATGCGCCGGCAGTGGCATCACGAACCGCATGTCGAGCTATTGGCATCTCAAACTTGCGCAATTCGGACATGAACGTGTGCGTGTATGTCTCAAAACCTTTGAGAGGCACCATATTAATTGACAGAAGATTAGATAGGGCCTTTAGGCGCTGAAAGTTGCTCGCTCCACTACACTAGAAACACACGAGTCATCATGATATTACATGTGTAAAACTTCATGTATGCAGAGGTGCGTGTGGCAATCTTTTCACAAATTATCCTCGTGCTCACATGACAATGATTAAGTAAAAGAAGACAATGCTCGTTGAACATGAACACCGAAGAAGAAGCACAGCAAGGCAAAGTAGGACTCAATTTTTGTGTTTTCGCAGACCGAGAATAATCTCGCATCTTCACGATGACCTCATACAGCGCAAAGCAGACCCGAGCTACTCGCACATCTCCTCTAACTCGGCTGTCATGCCGCAAACTAGCGCACAATTGGTTCTTACTGGGGCACACCGTGGAAGTACACAATGGCGCGAATGCACTGTTAATATCACATCAAAAGAAGCACAAAAAACGTTATTATGCACACTAGCAGCAAACATCCACCTTGTTCAACACTTACGTCTCCTTGGTGCATGGCGTGGAACGCGTCGTTGATCTGCGTCAGGTCAAACTTGTGGGTGATGAACTCGTCCACCTTGATCTCCTTCTTCATGTACTTGTTTACTAGCTCAGGGACACCGTCACGGCTCTTAAAGCCACCGAAGGCGCTACCAGCCCAGCGGCGGCCCGTGACGAGCTGGAACGGACGCGAACCCAGCTCCACACCGGACGCAGCAACGCCGATAATACACGACTCGCCCCAGCCCTTGTGGCAGCACTCGAGCGCAGCACGCATCGTCTCGGGACGGCCGATGCACTCGAACGTGTAGTCCAGTCCACCGAAACCCTCTTCCTCTGTCATCTCGATAAGCACCTCCTGGATCGGACGATCGTAGTCCTTAGGGTTCACGCACTGAGTAGCACCGAACTCCTCGGCAATAGGGAACTTCTTTTGGTTGATGTCAATGGCGATGATCTTACGCGCACCAGCCGCCTTGGCACCCATGATACAAGCGAGACCCACAGCGCCCAAACCGAACACGGCCACAGTCGAGTCCTTCTCCACCTTCATGGTGTTGATGACAGCACCGTAGCCCGTGGTGATGCCGCAACCAAGCAGACACACCTTGTCCATAGGGGCTGAGGGGTCGATCTTGGCCACAGAAATCTCAGGTAGCACTGTGTACTCAGAGAAGGTGGACGTGCCCATAAAGTGGAAGAGCGTCTCTCCGTTACGCTTGCACGTGAAGCGCGATGTTCCGTCGGGCATGAGACCCTTGCCCTGCGTGCTGCGGATGATAGAGCAGAGATTCGTCTTGCTGGACTTGCAGAACTTGCAGTTGCGGCACTGCGGCGTGTAGCACGGCACGACGTGGTCGCCCACCTTGACGCTGGTCACATCAGGACCCACACTCTCCACGATACCGGCGCCTTCGTGTCCCATGATGACGGGGAAGATACCTTCCGGATCTGCGCCTGAGCGAGTGTACTCGTCCGTGTGGCATACACCCGTAGCCACGATCTTAATGCGCACTTCGCCGGCGCGCGGCGGCGCCACGATCACATCCTCGAGGATGTAATCTTCTTTGGCGGCCCAACACACGGCGGCCTTGCACTCAATAGGTTGTGGAGAGCTCATGATCGATGCTTGGTCTCTGAGCTTGGAGAGGTCAATTTATAAGTGGGGTGGTCACGGACCGATCCAGTTAAAAATGTCGACTGACTCACAGCACAGACATCACGATTTTTCAAAGCGAAAACAAATAACGTATTCAATAGGGTATAATATTATGAGGACGTAACAAATTAAACGGTAGGGCAACATCTAATGGATGAAATAACCGACATCAGAAGGGTATATGGTGCTACAGTAACGCTATTTTTTTAATTTACCTTGGGGTTGCACCTGGTGTGCCTTCTAGCTTTGCAGGTTGTTGCAGCAACTCCAAAATCGGTGAAGTTAATATTGTGAAAATATCACCTGTAGACTAGTTAATATAAAAAATATCACCTATTATTTTCTTCTGAGACAATATGATATCATTAAATATCAACTTAATATTAGTTAATACGATATTATATTCAGGGGCTAATGGTAACCAAATATCATATGATATTTTTGATAGTAATAGTACTATTTTCGATATTAAATATTAATAGTAACTCATTTTTGCAAAAGCTAACATAATATTTTTATATTAGCTCGGAGAACTGAAAAATATTAGATACTACATGATATTTTATGATATTTTCCCACTTAAGTACGTTTCTTGCCAGCTTACCTCTGTGAACCGAGCGGAGCCAAATAACTTTTTCGATCAGGTTCTAGAAAAGCAGTAGGCTTTAAGACTGACGAGTATTTGCTCTAGTATTTCACTGTGACACAGACAAAGGCGATCGAGATGGAAAACTGCAAACGCTTGCAGCTGTTTAACGTTGATAGAGCGAAATCAAGACATTTGTTCTTGTTCTCTTCCGATCTCCTCGTCGACATCGTGCGTCTAATAAACCTGCTGCCTGTGGCGCTAGATTAATGCGCTCAGCAGTGCCAACACACAACGCCAACCTTGCCGTCACTCACAATTGTCCCGGTACTCACGGTTGATTAGTAATACTTCAGCTAGTCGAGCGTTAACGACATCTGATTAGTTAATGTAGCCCGATTACGCAATCATTGAAAAATATAATATCGTATTAACTAATATTAAGTTGATATTTAATAATATCATATTGTCTCAAAAGAAAATATTAGGTGATATTTTTTATATTAACTGGTCTACAGGTGATATTTTCACAATATTAACTTCACCGATTTTGGAGTTACCATTAACCCCTGGTTGCGGGACCCCGGGGTCCCGCAAACAATTATGTCGGTATCCGGAATTATTTATTTTATTACGGGCTTGTACCACAACCTATAAGAAAACATTTCGTGACTTACTTTTTCAAAATTTAGCTTGCCCAGCATCCCGTGAACGAGCATCCAGAAGCTATTAACGGCCCTAAAATATCAGATATTGCTGTGAAGTCCTTGGGCCCTGCAATCAAGAGCATCTAGCTGCCATATTGAGCAATAATATGTCAGATATTACTGTGAAGTCTCTGAGCGTCATTCCAAGGCATCGTCATCGCCCCAGAAAACACCCATGCTGACAGTTCGGCAGCATATCAGCAGCCAAAACAAAAATTGGTACTGTTTTGTACCGGTTACTTATGAGAGCCCCGGGGTCCCATCCGGACCCCGGGGTCCCGCCAAATGTTTCAATTGTGAGTGACGGCAAGATTGGCGTTGTGTGTTGGCACTGCTGAGCGCATTAATCTAGCGCCACAGGCAGCAGGTTTATTAGACGCACGATGTCGACGAGGAGATCGGTAGAGAACAAGAACAAATGTCTTGATTTCGCTCTATCAACGTTAAACAGCTGCAAGCGTTTGCAGTTTTCCATCTCGATCGCCTTTGTCTGTGTCATAGTGAAATACTAGAGCAAATACTCGTCAGTCTTAAAGCCTACTGCTTTTCTAGAACCTGATCGAAAGAGTTATTTGGCTCCGCTCGGTAAGCTGGCAAGAAACGTACTTAAGTGGGAAAATATCATAAAATAACATGTAGTATCTAATATTTTCAGCTCTCCGAGTTAATATTAAAATATTATGTTAGCTTTTGCAAAAATGAGCTACTATTATTATTTAATATCGAAAAATAGTACTATTACTATCAAAAATATCATATGATATTTGGCTACCATTAGCCCCTGAGTTTATTAGACGCTCACATTTGATTAGTAATACCTCCGCTAGTCGACCGCTAACGACGTCTGGTTGGTGGATTTAAACAGATTACGTAATTGTTGAAAATATTAAAGCATGTTAGCTAATATTAAGTTGATATTTTATAATATTATTCTGTCTCAGAAGAAACGATATCTTTTTATACTAACTGGTCTACAGGTGATATTTTCACAATATTAATTTCACCGATTTTAAAGTTACCGTACCATTAATCCCTGGGTCAAGTTACATGTACTACATGTATACATTTTACAGCGATCTGATTGGCTAATCGAACAGCTTAAAAACACAGCCCGAAGCCAAATTCTAGGTTCTCAATTGCAAGTGCTTAATGAAACTCATTTAGTGAGTTTTGCTGGGAATTATGGTAGTCAAATAAAGAGTCAATGGTCACTTACAGAGGCTCAGCTAGAGAGGTGTGACTGTATTTTCATCCGAAGCTGGTATATCGGTTGTTTTTCGGGTTGTCTTCACTTGAAAAACCTCGTATACGCGGGAAGCCGGATGTTTCACATGCTGGGCTCAGCTGTTCGAGGAAGGTGGTGTTTCACATGCTGGGCTCAGCTGTGCGAACAGCTTCGAGCCGCGTTCCTCTTGGCCAACTACGAGTACCATCAGCGCTTGCGCTTCCTCTCATACAAACAAGGAAGGCGTGAGCTGCACGAGTACATCCAAGAGATGCGGGAGCTCACGGCGTCCATAGTGGGCAATCTACACAATGAACACATCAAGGTGACGGTGTTCATGGATGGCCTTCAAGTGGGACCGGCGCGCACTAAGCTGTTCCGGGTACAGTCAAGCACTTTCGAAGAGGCGCTTCAAGTGACTCTTCAAGAAGAGTACAGCCATCGCCAGGCGCGCACGTCGGCCTCAGCGTGGCCAGGGAATTCTGTGCTGAATCCCGGTCGGGCCAACCCGACTGGACCAGTTTCCATGGAACTCGGGTCCGCCGAACAGCGCAGCATTCGCTGCTTCGGCTGCGTAAAGCTGGGCCACTTCAAGCGTGACTGTCCCGCGCGGACTTTCCTCAAGCCCGTCATCAAGGGTCGCTGGCTGAAGCCAATCCCCCGAGGCCAGGGGAACACCGGAGACCAGTAGGGGCGGGGTGCCCCACTGGGGAAGAACTAAGTCATCATGAGAGGTACGCGGGTGACGCGCACAATGGGGATTAAGCCCCTGAGAGTCTACGAACTATTGAATCGACGAAGAGCAGCGGCTGACAACTTGAAGTACACAGATGTGTAAGGGGGTACGAGCATCCCTTTTGAATCTTGATCGATTCTGGGGCATCGAAGAAATTCGCACGCCGCCAGACGGTCGCTCGTAATAGCAGCAAGCTGTGCGATGCTTTGAGAGAAAGCAAAGGCAACGGGACGGCAGTGTCAGTGCGACTGACCGACGGGAAGGTAATCACTGTCCCCAATATCCAAATAAATCTGGCCGTCAAGTTTGAAGACTTCGACAGCCCAGAACAGTTTACTGTTCTCGACACGGATCGCTACGATTTGATCCTGGGTATACCCTGGCTCGAGAAGTACGACCCCTGGATCGACTGGCGAGGCAAGGCAATCGGTGCCAGCCGCCCTGCGAAGTCCGACAGAGCAGTGGTGAGTCGTGTTCCCACCTCTGTTAGCCCGCAAGGGCTGCCAGGGTACCGAAGCATCCAGCGGATACTTGGGAGTCGTCGACGTATAATGACGACTCCGACGACGCTTCGACGGTGGCGGCGCAAGGAGGCGCTGGCCAAGTGGGTAGCTTAGGCACACAAACGGGTAACATAGTTCCGCAGACAGCTGCAGCTGTCACGAACGCTGGTAATAGCGTGTCCAAGGTGGGTAACAGAGTTCCACACACGGTCGCCCAGACCTTAACTGAAGAGGGAAACGTCGGATATGCTATCTGTGTAAGTAACCCAATGCCATACGAGGTCGCCCAGACCATAACTCAGGCGGGAGACGCAAGATGCACTTTCTGTGTGGGTAAATGAGTACCACACGAGGCCTCGAGTGCCTCGGATGTCGGCACCACTACCTCCCCAGACGTGGGTAATGAAGTTCCACGTCACCGTCGCCGTCGACGATGACGCCGCCGCCGCCGAAAGTCGGATAGGAACCTCGTTCAGATCGACGTCACTTCAATCGACTCGGAGTCCAGGGCCCGGGCTCCTCCGACACGGCCGGTGAAAGAGTGTTGTCTTATCTTCGATGACGAGACCGGTCTAGCCGTCAAGGCATCTGGGTGTCCACTTGGAGCTGTTACCAGAGGTTGCAGAGATACTGAACCTCGCGGAAACGACGGCCGAGTCTTTCCTGGGGCTGGGGAGATTGCCGAGATGGTGCTCATAAGACCAGAGGCCACTCGAGAGGAGTTGGGCTCCTCCTCTGTCTTGGATGAGAACGTCCTAGAAGGGGGTGAGCAAGCAGGGTCAGACGCGCTTGATATCTCAGATCCTTAAGAACCCCAAGGATCCGGTGTATCCTTTGGTGACGGATTATGCGACGTGGTGAACAAACACCCACCGACCCAACTCCCACCGGATCGAGCCGTACGGCATGATATTGATCTCGTGTCTTGCACAAAGAACAGTGTCACGAGATTATGGTCTCTTCCACGCAAACAGTGCGAGGTCATCGATGCCTTTTTCGCTGCGAAAGCGAAAGCAGGCATGGTGCGGGAGTCAAAGTCCCCGCACTCGACGCCAACCTTCTGCGTTCAGAAGCCGAACGGGAAGTGGCGTTTTGCTCACGCTTATATATGTTACTCGCTGAATAACGCGACGGTGCCGGCCCAGACACCAATCCCACGAAAGGATTTGTTGTTGAACAACATGGCCGGAAGCGTACTGTACAA